GTTAGGGGTGAGCATATCCTAGGCCTCTGTTAACTGTGTGGGGGCCACAGGCTTTCTTAATTTTGGCCGAAAACAGGTTATCTATCGTCGGTTTGGATCAAGTTTGCACATAGGCCATCGCCATTACTACGAGCGACCATAAAGCCCGGTTTCGGTAAAATTCTGTCGTCAGCGACTTCGTGTAAGGTACCCGATGACGCCTTGTATTACCCAGGGTGACCCTGGAGCAACCCTGGAGGATGAATTAGGTCATCGGCATCACAATCGGGGGGTATCGGAACAAGGCATTTGCCGCATTTACGTTATCTCTCTTATTCGATTTATTAGATTACGTTGTCGGAGAGTCAGGGTATATACTCCTCCCACATTACACAAAAAAATGCGCTCACTTATGGCTACTTAGTATATAGGTACACCGAAGAGTTACAATAATTACAGTCCCATCATAATACTGACAAGCTCCCCGCTTCTCGCCCGCATCAGTGGCCCTGGACGAAGGACATGATGGTGGTCTTGATGATGTTGACGGCCTCCCGGACCTGCTGCTCGGTGATGACCAGCGGTGGGGCCAGCCTGATGATGTCGCCGTGGGTGGGCTTGGCCAGCAGGCCGTTGTCCCGCAGTCGCAGGCATACGTCCCACGCATCGATACCTGCCAAAAAAAAATCTCATTTTAGACTGACACTTTCTCAGGGGGTGGGGGTGGGGTTAGGGATTTAAATTTTTCGAAAAATGGCTTTCAAAGAATTTTTTGAAGATTTTTTTAAAAATCTTGTAATTTTTCCCTGAAACGTTAAAATTTTTACAGTCTTTCTAAAAATATTTCAATTTCTTAAGATTTTTTTCAGGAAAACTTTCTATGTTCTCCGGAAAAAATTCTGACTTTAAAAATCCGGGAGGTGGGGTGGGGGGTCACTTACCCTTGCCGATCACGATGGCGTTCAGAAGGCCTTTGCCCCGCACGAGGGTCACGACGTCCTTGGGCAGGGTGTTGAGCTCGCTACGCAGCAGCTTGCCCATCTGCTCCGCGTTCTGGGTCAGCTTCTCGTCGATGAGGACGCGCAGGGCGGCGGTGGCGACGCGGCACGCCAGGGGGTTGCCGCCGTACGTGGAGCCGTGCTGGCCGGGCTTGACGCACAGCATGACGTCGTCGTCGGCGAGCACCGCGGACACCGGGTACACGCCGCCGGACAGCGCCTTGCCCAGGATGACGATGTCGGGCCGGGCGCCCTCCTCGTGGTGGACGGCGAGGAGCTTCCCCGTGCGCCCGAGCCCCGTCTGCACCTCGTCGGCGATCCAGAGCACGTTGTACTTGGTGCACAGGGCGCGCACGCCGCGCAGGTAGCCGTCCTCGGGTACGACGACGCCGGCCTCGCCCTGGATGGGCTCCACCATAAAGGCGCACACCTCCGGGTCCTTGAGCGCCACCTGCAAGTCAAGATCAAGTCGTGAACGGAGGGCTACGCACTATAAATTCAAGCGCACTCTGATTTACTACATTTTCTTATT